ATAAGTATGCATTTAAAAGTTCAAGTCATGACAACAAATCCAGTAAACAAAAAGGCATTAAACTCTGTTTGGAATGAGCTAAATTACAAGTCTGTAAAGAGAAGGATGTCAAGTGGCAACCTGGCAAATTTCGCCACTTTGAGGAGGTGTAACTTGGCGGAGAACTCACTTTTCCAAGTTTTTTTATGGCTTTTTCTATGTTCGCCTAGACTCTACTAATCAGCAAATTTAAAGAAAATTTGAGTTATGAAGAGAAAAAAGTGTGCGATTTGACGTGGAATGGCCCTATGTTATTATAAATACCACTCGACAGTTCAAGCCACATTTAGCTTGAAAAAGATCGTTGATAGCGCTATCCACGGTCATTCTCACAGAATAGAACAGAAAAAGTCAAGCATTGTCTTAGTGAAGTCGTTGGAAAACAGTATAGCAGACCAATAGCATTGTTGCCAACTACTGTGGTGATGTCTGTTACTACTTTTAGAACTTTATCATATTTAAATTCTTGAACTTTCACTGGGCAGTTTAGAAAAACTGCCAGTTTTTCCAAATTATTATGAGAAAAAAAATAAAAGTAATGTTATCGTCTAAAATATGCATGAAAATGGTAGTGATACAGTAGAAGATGTTTTCAGAATCTGAAGAGATGTACTAAAAGACAAATTATTTTGTTGCTAAAACAAGCAGCATTTCGGAAAGGAAACAATGCAATGCTTTAAAAAAAAAACTAAATAACAAAAAAAACGACCTAATGCATGAAAACTTTCCAAATTTTAAGGTATTTAAAGATACCTACTGATACTTATAAAATTAAATGTTCATTTTGCTAGAAAACTAGAAAAACTAGAAAAAAAACTTTTTACTAGAAAAAATTTAATTTTTTGCTGAATTGTTAAGCAGGAACAACTTAGTAATCATGATTTTTCAAAACGTTACAAAATTTTTTGGTTAATCTTCGATAGATTTTGCAGCATAAAAGAAAAATATTTAATTTTTCGACTAATGTAATGCAATTTCTTTTCTTTACTTTTACCAATATTTAGTCAAGAGTTACTGAAAAGAACAAAAAATGTGTCTTATTTTTCTATACAATTTTTAATAATTAGAAAGTTGAAGCTACATTACAGCAGTTAAATAACGCTGTTTCAGTTCCTAAGCATTAACTGTATTACAGTTCTAGATAATTTTGACAAAGAATAAAAGTTCAAATCAGTAATAATTACTAAAAGGATGAGTGCAATAAGAAGCAGTTATAGCACTTAGAATAATTATATTATATTTTCGCTAATAAGTGTTTAATAAACCAAAACAGCGCCATAAAGTATTTATTTAGCCAATAAAATCGGTAAAATTCAGCTTTTTTTTACTTCAGATTTGAAGCAAAAAAATTGAACGTTATGTAGAACAGATTTATTGTTTCTTAGAAAATTTCCTCTCAGACTTATGCTGCTGATTCCGTTTTGCCAACAACAGTTTCGTCTTAAACCTTGCAAAAAAAAGTTTGACTAAACTATCTTAATTCTTTAATTTCGAGATCTCTATTGTAAAAATAAATGGTTTTTTTACAGTATTGAAGACGCTACTGCAGAAAAGCACTAACCAACGACTGATTCCGCTTTAAGATCAGTTTTTTTTGACGATGCCAAAAAATCTGCCAACGGAATGTTTACCTATAACAAAAAAAAAGTAATAAGAAGAACAGATTTCAATTTTCAGAAAAAAATAAAGCTAAAAATCAGCTTAAAAATTAAAGTTTTTTCTAGATTTTTTTATGCTTTACACACGCTGATTTAGAAGTGTTTAAAAGTTTTACAAATTAAAGTTTTACAAAAACCCTGAGTTTCTTTGTTATTGATAAGTATTAAAAAAGCAAAAATCAATCTACATTTACAGGGTAAATTGTACAAATAACAAATTGAGAATTTTTTTTGGAACTACTTCTTGACCAATTGTGAAATAAATAACCTTATTTTTTGAGTTTCCCGAAACACTTTTTCGTTCATTCACTAAGAATGCATAACCGTGGTAACCAAATATCGTTGTTACATACAATACAGAAACAAAAATATACATTTGCTATATATAAAATTGAGGAGTTCCCATCAAAAGTGTTTGTGCACAACAGTTTGAAGGTTACTACAACATTTCACGAGCATCAGCATTTCATCTGCTTTGACCGCTTCCTTTCCTTTTTTCGCATCAAATTCTTCAACAAAGCATCGACAGTCTTTTCCTTCTTGAACCTATGAAATAGAAAAAAAAATAATCTGTTTTAAAAATAATAAGGAAATTTTTCGATTTTTTAGCATAGCTAAAACAAAAAAATTCAGCTTCTGAAAACAATATTTATAACGTATAGGTAAAAAAAAAAGCGCTTCAAAAAGAAAAAAAAAAAAGAAGAAAAAAAGGAACAAAATCAAGAAGTCTGTATTCCCATCTTCCATCAAGGAAAAAAACAACTTTAAAACTTCTTTTATATTTCTTAAAAACAATTATTCAAACAGCATTTAGTTAGCGTTTTTTTATTTATACGGCAAATATTGTTTGAATAAAG